AGCGAGCGAGTTATTAAAGAAAGGAAAAAGTGGAGAGATGGAGACAAAGAGATCACATCAATCTCTAATCAGTATGGTTTGTAAGAAGAATTAATACGAATTAGACATTATCTTTCGGATAGGGATCGCTCAAATCTTTCTCCGCAAGTCTTTGGAGAAAGAACAGACCATCCCACACCATGATTCACTGGCTGTGATCTAATGTATGCTGATCCCCAGAGAGCGAGATGTGTAGGAATCTCCTCTGTTGAAACCGAAATGCAGGGTTGGGTTGAGTCTTGCGCACAGTCCCCCTTTCTTCCAGACTGGTCTCCGCTGTGCCGGGCACTATGGTCGTAATGACTTCCCGTCTACTCGTCACAGACCCTCATTAGCGGTGTCATCCCGCTGTCGGTCCTCTGGGAGGCTGACGAGGCCGATCCTCCGGATGTAGCGAAGGAATTGGCTGGAGGTTGATCCGGAATGGACTATCTAGGCAGGATGTCTTTGACTAGTACACGACTTGCACGCTAGCATACTGGGACTGATTGTGCGGATGACGCCTCCCAGGCGTTCAACCGTGAAGGTCTGAACTCCTCTCACTTCCACGATCATTTATTCGCCGCCAGACCTCGGACCGTATTTGCCCGTTTGAGACCGCCACGAATTGCCCCCAACCCCCTCCCTTCCTATCGCCATCCTTTCCAAAATTTCCCGAGGATGGGGATTGGACTATAGGCGAGGTAGGGCGGCGTCACATCCAGCCAGATAACCTCGGGAGGAGGTCTAGTTCCTTAGTCTGCGTGTAGTGCGTCCAGTTCCATCTGCCTGAATGGAGTCTAGTTCTCCTCCAGACCCTCTTTTATTTTCCCCTTCTGATGCTTATTGGTCCCCGTCCGCGATGCAATAATACTCATGCGTAAGTATTCTCCCAGGAGATCTGAGCCCTTGGGGATGGCCGTTGTTCAACAACCTCTAATACGTGAGGCCGCATTTTTATTTTTATTTTTACCGTCTGATCTCGGTTTTTCTTGTTGAGAGACATCGCTCGCTGGTCTTTCTCGTTCCTTTATCAAACTTTACTAGAGCATAGGGCTTCAGGTTACCAGGATAGTCAAATTAGCCGTATCATTTTGGTCGTCCCCACCATCTATTGAAGCTCTCGGTTCACGTGAACTCGGTACGTTGTTGAAACAGAGATTGGGCGTTGATGTTTCATTTAATACACATGTTAGAGATATGACGCCGGCTGATCAGTCCCCACGATTCGAATGGGTCAACCACTTCAGGGTGAGGCAATAGAGGAATGGCGTGGAATCCTCTGTCCAGTCAACATTCATTCCAGGATTATCTATTAGTTAACGTCGTCGTAGCCAAGGCCTGCCCGACAGGCGATGACCGGTGCACATCATCCTGTCCTCAAGTTCTCGTCAGGGGCGGAGCCGTGGTTGGATGGTTGGGATCCACCTGCAGCTAAACCCCTCAATTATGTCCATGTTCACGGGCCAGGTGCTGTCTTTCTGTCTTTTTTCCCCCCTTCTTTTTCTTTTTCTTTTTCTTTTTATCAATTCCCTCGCGCTTGCTGAGGTGGGAAAGAAGGGAGGAAAGAGGCGGGTGGAAAACAGACAATACCGGCGAGGGTATTATCTGTACCTACGATGATAGGGAAATGTCTGTGCGTCTCCGGCCCACTGATATACAGTACCGTACCGTACAGTACATGCGAGCCGACTGATCCCCCTTCAGACTGGAGAGGGACCAGATGGAAGTCTATACAGATTAACCATAATAATAATAAGATTAAGAATCCAGATAGGTTCTCTATAGTGTTCGATCTACTTTCCATCTATCTTCTTCTATCTGTAAGGTGCGTAAAGGTTAAAATAACTATAGGATGAACAATTTTACTTGAATCATTTAGGAAAGAGATCACAATTTTGAACAATATCAAGAAGAAAAAATAACAAAAATTCGAAGAGATACAAGAATCCATAATTCAACGTCACAGTTGATTCCCAAATATCTTTATCCTCTTCTGGTTTTTTTTTTTTTTGGTAGTCTTTCCCCTCTTCCTCTCTTTCTCCTCCTCCACACGAAATCACACCAAATCCAGGCTCTCATTCTCTTTCGCAAGGTCGACACACAGCCCCCTCCTTCGTTGCTGTCCGGCTCTTCCCCAACCAAATCCACCCCATCCTATGAAGTATCATGGGCAGCTCCACCTTAATACGTGCCCCTGGGCATCCATGGCACTGGAGACTGACTATTACTTGACTAGCGATGGCTCTGTACCACAGAACTAGACTACTGCTAGACCCTCTCTGGTACTACTAAGATAGTTGCCCGCTACTATTACCTGACTAGCTTGAAGCCTTTCTATACCGTTACTGGTTACCTTATTGTTTAGTGAATGCCGTTAGTTAAGGATCAACTGTGCTGCACCTCTCTCTCCATCTACGACTACTGATTAGTCTGTCTGTCTGTCTGTCTGTCTGTTCGTCTCTATCAATCAATCAATCCATCCATCCATCCATCCATACCCCATACATACCAGATAGACATACCGACATACCGAGAGGATTCTCTCCGAGCAGATAGACCACCACTGACTTACTGTATGCATCTACATGCTTAACGCTATCCCCGTATCTGCTAGATCACATCCCATCTTCATCGACCATTATAATCCACTTCCTTCCCTCCTCCCCCTCCCTTCGCGCGGCAACTCTCGCACATACCTCCTCATCGTTTCCCATCTATGAGTTTATTCCCGACCTAGGGCCAAATGCGAAAAGCCATCATCCTCTCTTATAAAGCCCTTTCGGTTTTTCGTAATTTGAATTAAAGAAAAAGCCCTTTCTATCTATTTGGGTTCATAGTTTTCTTTATTTAATCTTGTGTCCGGACGCAGTCCAACAGCAACTCGATCTCCGGTCAATTTCCACAGACACCCCCTCTTTTGATTTTCGTTCCCCTCCTTTTTCTTTCCCTCGAGAAAACTACCCTGACCGATACCGACCAGTATTCCCTGGACGGGCGGTCTTTGCTGATTGTGTCATTCCTTACTGTCTCGTGAACTTCCCAATTTCAACCGGGGGACAAGAAAAAAAAATAGAAAAATAATAAGAAAGGGAAAGAAAAAAAATACAAAAAGAAAAGAGTAGGGTTGCGATACCCAAAGAAACGAGACCAGCGAACGAAGCCGAAGAAGATACAATACCTAATAGTGGACGTCATTACTGCTCCTTGAACTAAGGTTGAGGAGTTACCAGCAAACCAAAGCCGAAACAGTTGAAACGGGGTACCTGCTTCTGCCATCCCCACGCCTTTTTTGGATTCTTCAGAGTAAGTCCAAGTCTATCTCACTCCCCTGTTGGTTTCTCGTTTAATTTATTCGTCTGGTTATTTTTATGATGTTTCTTATTTGATCATTGGAAGTATGGGGTTGCTGTACTCTAAATCTTCCTCTTTGGCTTTGCTTTTCTTTTCTTATTCATTTTTTGATATGCTCTGGTCGCCTTGAAACCTGATTTCCCACGTGAAAACTTGCAGTGTTCGTTTTATTTTGCATGGTTACTGTTTTTTATATTTTTTTTCCCTATCCCATTCCTTCCAAGGAGAATAAAATAATATTCTCCATGAGATGATGATCCGATGACTTGATCGTTGATTTTTATTTTATTTTATTTTTCTTTATTTCTTATTTTTATTTTTTTTAATTTTTTTTTATTTATTATTTATTATTTTTTGGTGGTATGCCTCTGCAGTTTGATTTGAAAGTTGTGACGTGCCCCAGTTCTTTATATGAAAAAAAA